CCATACCATCTTTCATCTCTGACATCTCCAACAGGTAAAAATGCCAAGCCATCCATTTTTCCACAAAATTCGATTAAGTTTTGATCTTCTCTGTATTGTGTCTGCAACCCTAACTCTTGTACTTTCCCATAGGTTGATTGAGTTAAATGGTAGAAACAACCTTGAATGTGTATATCTTGTCCAAGAACATGTGTGATAGTTGTGATAACTGCTCGTTTAAAATCAACATGTACTACCACAGGATCAGGAAATAAATGTTGTTCTTCACATTTTGTTAAAAGCGTAGTGAGCATTTGCTCATAAGTTGTCAAAGTTTTATTCTGTAAGAGAATGTATACTGCTGTTGTAAARTTTATATTTATTTCTATACGTATGACATACAGCTGACTAAAAATTTTTGGAGCCAAAGCAAAGTTTTCATCCATATATACCATTTCGAAGAACTTGCTAAATTGACAAGCCCTTCATGTGTTGCAAACATCACTATCCTTTCATTTGCTTCTTTCCCGTTGTCATCAAGTAACAGTAGGTACTTTGTTGTGTGGTTCTCCTGAGAACAGTAGAACACCACTATCCCTAAACATTATAAATTAATAAAATTTAATAGCTGAAAGTTTTTATTTTACAATGATTTGTTTTTATTATTTTTTTAAAATATTATTCAAACATGCATTTAAATATAAATTAAAATATTTTTTATGCATTTAANACCACTATCCCTAAACATTATAAATTAATAAAATTTAATAGCTGAAAGTTTTTATTTTACAATGATTTGTTTTTATTATTTTTTTAAAATATTATTCAAACATGCATTTAAATATAAATTAAAATATTTTTTATGCATTTAAWGTTCAAATCTTGACAAAATACGGAAAAACGCGAAAATTAGCAAATTATTTTGAGTTAGAAATTTTTATAAACTGACATTTTTTGTATCCGTCATACAAGTGCATGAGAAACATAGCATTTTTGACCGGCTAATTAAATTTCGTTRATAGGTTCAAGGGTTTTATAACTTACCAAAATCTCAAGTTCGTTTAGTGTAGCTGGATCGAAAGGATTTTTCTTTTTTCTGTAGTTTCTAATAGTTCGTTTTAATGATTCTTCGATGGGTATCCTTGCTCAGGTGTAGTCATCTACTTGAGACACAACTTAAGCATACATCTGCGTCAGATTAGTTCCAGAACACTTCGCAGTGTCTTTAATTTTGTTGATGGCTTTTGCAACATCGATTTTTGCTGGTTCAGCTGGCTGCTCATGCATTACTTTTAATACTGCAGGGTGTGTTAAAAGTATAGTGGTGTGGAGATTAGCTGGGCAATTTAAAGAACTCTTTTTACTACATCTCCATGTATAATATTTTTTCCCGCGTATTTCATGACGAACATATTGCCTTTAAACGCTATTTTGTCTTTCCCTTTATTAGATGTAGCCATGTAGGTAATTATTTCCATAATTAAACACAAAAAGTAACTAGAAAAACTTTAAAATGACAACTTAAACGTTTAAACTAAAGTTTAAACACGACAATTCAATGACTTCAGTTCGATGAAATATGTTATACTACACTGTGTAACAACTAAATAATCTATATAATAACTATAGACACTATAGGTAATGYCTACAATAAAATGATGCAGATGTACCTGACGTCTGTATAATCTTAACAGTCTAAATAAGACAAACAACTCTTAGGGCCGACTTTGGCACTTTGTATCAATGAGGTAATATATTATATGCAATAATGCAATTGAATAACGTATAGCCCAGTATAGGCACCTTTTTAATCTTAATAGTAGTTATATGCCTCTATTATTGTACCTTTATGACCATATATACAATATATACACAAATTATAGCCATATATAGGTACAAAATATAAGATATAAGACAGAATATYAGTTGAATGATGTTAACTAAAATTTCCCGACACGGAAATACTACTCCCAAAACATAGTATAACAAAGTTGAGCTTCTTTTTTTTTTTTAATTATCCCG